TGCTTCAATGGATTTCGCAAAATGAAATCAATCATTTCCGAATTCCGTGTTGGCCAAAGACCAGGATCAGAAAAATTTGTGTAGTCCGAGATAGAATCTGTGGAGTTGACGACTACGACCTCAATATCACGATTTGCTACCGAAGCTGCTGTATTCCTGAGTTCGTCAGTTTGTTTCTCCTTTTCTATATTTTCGACAATACATTGTGCATGGGGATGCGTTAGCTGCTGAAATCAAGAAAATGAGAAACTAGAAATTGCAACAGTGCGGTAAGGCAGAAGACGTAAATTTTTTACATATTTTGTTTGATTTGTGGAGGCTCTAAAGTTATTATGATATTTTTTGTGGATTTTTTTATTTATTTTTTTTTTTTTATATTTTTTCTAAATATGTGAACATTCGTACGTGTGTGGACAGTGGATTACGGATTCATTTCGTTTATATGTGGACCCATTCCCGCCACAACGTTGTCATTGTACTACTTGTAATTGTAAACATGATTTGGCTACATAAAAAATCGTATTCAATTTTGAGGCAAAGTATTTTTACGACGCACATACGATTTAATGTACTTCTATCATAGAAGTTCTATGCCATAATTTCCTTATTTTCGTTGAATTTTACAGCAAATATTCAGCAGTGTATTTAATTATTGAGTTCGTAGATATTTACCTCGTCTGAACGTTCATTTGCAACAGAACTTGATGCTTCCGTCGTTGTTACGTGACGTACGAAAAAATTTTCAATTCGTGGTACTTTTTTGGTAACGAGTAATTCTTTTTTTTCTCTTTGTTTTGTTAATTTTCGCCGCTGGGCGCCACTCAGTTTATTAACACTCATTTGTGATAAAATTAATAATATAAAATTTTAAATCAAGTCTATTTTCAGAACTCTACGGACGGCTCAGAACAGAACGGATCTGAAATATCGCGGGAGAGTACAAGGAGAGAAATAACCACGGCAAAACTCCGAGCGGGGACTCACTAGAAGGCGATGCGAGGTAGTGCCACGGAACAGCGCGGCGAGCGCCCAGGCAAAGGCGCGGGAATCAATCGTCGAATCTATGTACTTCCAAACATAGACTTTCCGCCTTGAGCTGTAGGGAGTTTTGCTCTGGATCTTCGAGAGTTTCCGTCGTAATATGACGGAAACTCCCGAAGCTGCAGAAGAAAATTCTCGAAGCTGCAGAGCAAAATTCCCTACAGCTCAAGGCGGAAAGTCTGTATTTCGAGTACATAGATTCGACGTACGATTCCGCGCTTTTGCCTGGCGCTTGCCGCGCCATTCCGTGGCATTACCTCGCATCGCCTTCTAGCGAGTCGCCGCGCGGAGTTTTGCCGTGGTTTTTCTCTCCGTGTAGACAGTAGAGCGTAGAGCCAGGAGGCGGATGCGTATTTGTGTATACCGCAGGCGCCCCTTCCGTCGTGGCGCCCTAGGCACACGCCTAGCGTGCCTATGCTATAAACCGCCACTGGAATGACCCCTATCGAGCAAATAAAAAAGCTTTTAGGTCGCGTCACGCGTTTACACCGTGAAAGCAGACGACCTATTTTAGGTGAGGCCGTTAAAAAACGCGGCCTGACCTAAAGCTAGTATCAAGTGTTTACACCACGAGACCTAAATAATTTAGGTCGAATTTGGGGTATAGGTCGCGGACTAAGCGCACGGTGTAAACGTAGCCATTGTTCCCCGCTTACCGCGAACCACCCCCTCTGCCAATTTCGTTGGCTGAGCTAGCTGAGCCCGTCCGTCGCGAATTCCGTTGCTCTGTAATTTTTTTTGTCCGAGCGTAACATCTTAAAATTTAGTGCGAAGAGTGGCACGCTCTCTCGTGCCTGGCGCCCAACGAAAATTGTACGGCTCGAATATCGCAGCACATAAAATTAAAAGGACGAACCGCACTTTTGCTATTTACATTATTGTGTTCATCTTTTTGAGCTATCGCGTAAATAGAGCAACGGATGAAGTGACGAAGTTGTGCCGTTTCTCACAAGTACGGTCACAATACATACAAAAGATACATGTCATTAGAATTAAATAAGTGTATAAGGATGGTACCTCTTAAATCTTTAGAGATAGAATTTTTAAAGACTAGTTAATTAAACGATATATTTTATGGGAAAAATCCATATTATATGACAAGATAGTGAAATAAAAAAAGGGAGAATGTGCAATGTTAGAATTTAACTTGGTATTACATACGTATAATCAAATATGCTATAAACGTAATAATTTTTTTTGGTATAATCAGAACAATCCTTATCACAATATTAATTATTAATTAGAATAATAATTTGTAAACGTATACATATGAAGATATACGTGATTGAAAACTAGTTAACTTATACTCTAAAATCTTGAACTAAGTGAGAGATCAAACTATAGAGTTTTTTATATTTAAAAAATAAATCACAAAAGATCAGTATTAATTTTAAAAGAATTCTTATGCCAAATTGTCTATTTTAACGTAATACATTTTATTATTGAAAGATAATGAAATACCATGAAAAATGACACATATATTATTGAAGGT